GTGTGGGAGCGGTGGGGAACAGTGGGGCCGTGTGGGAGCGAGCCCCGCCGCAGGGACAGTGGGGCCGTGTGGGAGCGGTGGGGAACAGTGGGGCCGTGTGGGAGCGAGCCCCGCCGCAGGGACAGTGGGGCCGTGTGGGAGCGGCCCCCGCCGCGGGCACACAGATGGGCCGCGGATGGCAGAAGGACACAGAAGGCAGGGGACAGCCGCGGCGAGCAGCGGGCAGCGCCGCGGGCACGGGCACGGGCAGGGCCGGCGGCGCGGGGCCCGACGAGGGGCAGAGCCGCACAAGGTTGGCCCCGGCCCCCTCCTCCTGGCATCCACAGGGGAGCTCTTCGCTTTTTTTTCCGTAGAAAAAGAAAATCTCTGATGGTTAAACCGAGCTGGTTCTCAGGGCAGCGCACACCGCGATCTGGAGCAGCCTGAGAGGTGATCTTGGCTCTCTCTCGGGGGGCTCGGTGTTTCTCATTTGGACGCCTCCTGTCTCCCTCTGTCACCTAATCTGCCAAGATGCTCCTTGGTGTTCTTTTTTGTCAGGAAAGTAACAATAATTCACAAATACACAGATCAAAAGGCGTATCCTTCCATTTGCGGGAGAGGGACCTTACAGTTGTTAGGACAACAGGAATGTAATAAAAACAGACAAAACTAAGAACAAAGCATTTCACAAGGGGCAAAAATGAGGAGAAAAGAAAAAAGACAAAGCAATGAAGAGCACACTGTGCTCCCATCGGCTCCAAAGCCCCGTGGCTGTGGCAGGTCCCACCATCTGGGTTTCTGTGGCCATACACGTGTCGGGCTCACCTGCTCTCAGCCAGGACAGCACTTGCAGGGGCTGTTCTTGCCCTAGTGATCCCTGACAACATTCCACAGCGACACGGCACCTCTGCACCTCTGCCAAACCTAGATGATGCTTCTGGAGGAGAGGGAGTTGCAGAAACCTCTCTTCCTTAGGGTGTGGGCCAAAACACAGAGACTGCTTATGCAGACCAGGGAAAAGCCTTCACTGTTCATACAGTGAAGATGAGAGTGATTTACACATTAAAAGCCAGATAAACACACCAAATCCCAGTCTAAGACATTGGTAGGATAAATTTGGACATGCAATGTGCAGATTTACAGGGTGGAATTAACTCCTCTGGGAGGGCAGTAAGGTTGTGGAGGAACATGCCCCTCAGCTCTCTGACTTTTCCCTGCTCAGTAGGGTGATCTTGACCAATCCAGACGTTCCAGCACAAAGTAATCAGTTACTCACACTCTCAAATGGTCCTCAAATTTCTTCTGTCTGCCTTTCTTCTGGGAGGCAATTGGCTAAATACTTGCTTTTTCCTAAATTTTGAGGCAACTGACCAAAGGTGGTGATGCCTTCCTGAAGGTGATGGATCAGACAAGAACATATACAAGGACTGAATAGAACACAAATGTGTAAAGCTGGCTATGCAGACAATAGGTGCTGGTTTCTACTTGACTAAATTTCAATGTTTATTGGATATGTGGGTATGTAGTAAAGCAAAATGCAAAGATCATTCAGTGCATAAGGGCTCATAGACTGCTACAAATACAAGTCCTTTGTTAACATATTGTTTATATTAATTTATATTTCAGTGTTTTTCTAAACCTGAAGATATTAAACTCTCTGTATGACATTTCATTACAGATTTAGAATTATTCATGATCTCCAACATTGTACTGGTCCTAATGCCACTTGGTTTATAAAGTGAATTTTGCCTAAAGCCCATCCTCAGCCAGAATTTCAGCAATTCTGGTTTGCACTTACCTGTGAGCGATCCATGTCACCCATACCTTGAACAGTCTGTGCCAGCACCTGTCTGCACCACCACCACACAGGAGCTGCAAGTTACACAGATAGGCAGGGAAACATCACAGGGATTACAGAAAGGTTCTCCAGCCTGTTTTCAATGCGTCAGAGCTATTGAAATATAGGTGCCTTTGGAACCAACATTTCTGACTGTTTCGAAATGCCTTCAGCGGCACTTCTTGGCCACTAAGAAAAAGGGGGTAAAACCTCAGACATACCAGAAGCTGTGATATTATCTCTTCTCCACCTGCAGTTAGGCTCTGTTTTCCCTAGGAGCTTTTAACTGATACAGGAACTATATACTACCCTGGCAAAGCACTCCCTGGTGTGATTGCAGCTATGGCAGCAAAGCTGTTTTCTACCAGTGCAGGGCTGCTCTGCTCCTGCTCCCCAGTGGGACCAGCGGCACAGGAAGCACCAGACAAAGGCCCCACATTGTGCTGCAGAGCTCTGCCCCTGGAGCCCTGCCTGGCACAGCCCTGCCTGGGGAGGCTCAGGCCTTGGAAAACGGGGTCAGACATCAGTCCTGTACCCTGGAATAGGCTAAGGATCACCTCTGTGAGCTGCAGGTGTCCCGTGTGTCACAGATGCAGCTCCATGACAAGAACAGAAGAATGGGAGCCTCTCCCTCTGCATCTTTGCAGTAGCTTTCACCCCCACACCCCAAACTGGATTTCTTTGGCTCCTAAGAAAGCAGTTATCAAGACAGCACCATCCCTTGCCATGTAATGATGACTGTTCATATGGACCTGGTTATCTCAAAAATACCACAAAACAACCCAGTAGATTCACGCATTCTGCACATTTGCACATACTGTCTAAGGAAATAAATATTTTTAAGAAGTGGCCCATTGGTGTTCAAATATTAATTACCCAGATACTGTAAAAGCAGGAAAGTACCACAGGTAATTTTTTCCCAGCCCTGGGGGCACAATCTATCCACTCTCTCCAACCTTACTTGGGCTGCTTATGAGTGAGACTCATATGCCAAAAGAGATGAAGATGAAGCAGGACCACAGCCCTTATGTTTTGGAGCCTCTTACCTTTCAAAGGCTGGGTGAAAAACCAAACTATTCCTTTCCTCTGGCATGGTCAGGGTTCAGGGCAGATAAAACATGAACTTAAGCACTGCTTGGCACTGCTGGACTGAGCAGGACCCCAGCACCCTGACCCATGCCCACATTTCCAGTAACATCTGGGGAAAATATGCAGCTCCAAACAGGATCCCCACGTGGGGAGATCCCCATCTCAGCACAGTGACTGTGCACCTACTTTTAACTAGTCAGCAGGGAGATGCTCAAAGGTGTGTGCTTCAGTACAGCACTACTCAGGCAGCTCTCTGAGTTGCATGGAAACATCAGTTCAACTCTTGGGATTCACAATGCAGAACTTTTTCCTGAAGATAGAAACCTACATCTTTTTCATTTCTGAAGGCTTGCCCAGAAGTGATCCAGCATCATTTCAAGCCAGTGTCAGGCAAAGAGCCTCCTTTTTCAATATCACCATTGTAAGAACCTACTACTTTCTTTTAGCATGGAGAAGATGGCACATGAGCTCTTTCCACAGCAGCTGCTGTACATTCCCAGCTTTTCTTGCAAGGGCATGTCTATGAGCCTGTACTACAAGACATTTTCCATTTCCCATCTTAAAGTAGTACAGTTGAGTTAAGAACATGCTTATATTATGAACAGGAATAATGAATTGGTGATTTCATTAACTAATTTTTCAGCCTGTAAACATCTGTTCTGTGGTTTAGAGAGAAATAATTAGGTTGAAAGTTAATACTCTTTTTTAGAAATGGATCATTTTAGTGTGATTTTGATGAAGAAACAGTGAGCTAAGAATAATCTAGATGCAAACAAAACTGTCCTCTTTGGAATTAAGAAAAGTCATTCCTAGTTTTGTTATATTAGGGCTCATAAATTTATCACAAGCCACATTTTGAGCCTAAAATCTGACTGTCCATGCAACGCTATTTCAGTAGAATAAAAACCGTCTATCATTTGTCTCAAACAGATTTTTTTTTTTTTTTTTGAGGAAGTTGTAACTTCTTTTAAGTTAGGACTGCTTTGGTGCTTCCTATTGTAGAGATTACCCTACTTCAGTTGTGCCCAAAGTTGTGCTTTAATTGTAGCCTTCCCTTACTGTCCTGAAGGAACCCTGTGTGTGCAATAGGACTATCTACATCAGCAGGGATCTAAATTGTTGAAAACATGGGTTACAGCATCAACAAGCTGTGCCACCCTTGCACTTGTAAAAAAGCTCCCTATATAAACTAATTTAGGCATTGACTTCATGTCTGTGAAAACATGTTTCCTACAAAACCTCGCTTACATGCTCCAAGCCCAGACATGGCCCAATGAATACCAGTTGTGCTCTAGTTCAGCGCAGAGATTTTGAAAGGCTCTGACTGTGTGTGTTCCCATGCCACAGTCTTGCAAATCCTTGCACTTTGTGGGAATGGGTAACCACATCATCTCAGCTGTCACAACTGCTTAATATCTTTCATGATGATTATGATTCATTCAAGCAGGAGACATCAGGAGAACCGTATCTTTCTAACTTTCCAGAGGTGTCCATGGTCCTTAAAATGACTATTTCTTGACTGGAGATATAACTTACCTCATTACCATAAGTTTAAAAAGAGTAAAAGAAAGCCTGGTAATTGGCTCTGTTAGGCTGCCTGATGCCAGTTTCCAGTGTCAGACGTATGGCACTTACACAGAGCTACAATACCTGGGGGTCTGGAGGTCCACATGGTTAAAATACACAGCCTCCTACCATGGTCTGCAAGGCCTGATCCAGTGTCTGTGCATTTGTACACAATGCAGAAACTTTTTTTTTTTTGGTATTGAAACAAAGAAGCACAGAGATATGGTCAAGGCAGCCATAGGTCTGGTCCCTCCATTCTTGCTGAAAAAATTAAAATATTAACGAGTATTATAAGCTAGAAATATCTGTTCATAGTACATGTTTTTACCTCTCCTCAACCTATCGTGGAGCCAGGGAGGTACATCCAGAAGCAAACACAATGCCAGACACAGAACCATGGCTTTTGCTTTTCCTCCTTCTGGGCTGCAGAGTGCTCTATGCCATCAGGTGAATGATCACTGAATTCAGCAACCCCAGCAGCAGCAATGCAGGGGGCACTGACAGACAGACAAGCTCTGAGGCTAAGCTCATGTATTCCCTTTATTGAACTGTACTAGTTATTGCAATCAGATTAAGTCACATTTATAAAGCAGACCATCCAGTTGCACTGAAACCGATTATATTCATTACATAGTTTTAATCATTGTCCGGTGAACTGGCAAATCCAATCAAAGCATTAGTCTTTAATTAAAAAATTAAAAAGAAATATTCAGACAATAGCCAAGCAATCACATCACAATGCACAGTTACCTAAAATTGCAATTAAAAAGCAGTTAACAAAAAAGAAAAAAATCACACCTAATCTTTAACTATCAATATAATACAAGAAGCAACAAAGGGCAACAGCATCAAAGCAGATTTATCTAACACTATAAATTCAGTCAGAAGCAGAAGCTCTAAAGTACACTAGCTGAAGCAGGACAATAAAAAATACTGAGCATGGAATACTTTTAATCTCTTCCATTAATATTCATTTCCAGCTGCTTATAATAGCAGCGCCTCATGGCCAAATCATTAGAGTTTTACATCTGGGTTGCAAATGACACTTTGATTGGATGTAATGTTCAAATGGTCCTCCCCACTGTGCCACCGTCAAGTCTTCTGCAGAGAGGTGTCCTGTAGTGCCAGTGGCTCACTGTGCGTGCTGGCTCAATGTGTGGTTCTGGAAAGACGAAAAAAGGAGACATGCATGAGGGGCAGAATAATAGAAAGCATGCCCATACCCTCCCACTCAGTACCATTTATGCAGAGCTCAACATAAAAGCTTCTCAATTATTACAAAACAAAATGCAATAAAGAAAAAGTACTCATAAGTAACAGCTGCCAATATGACATACTTGCTTTGTTCTGACAGATCTGTTAATGCTGGCATGAACTTAGAAAAAAAAAAAATGCTACAAGCCAAGTATAGTCATGAAGGTTTCCTTTTTATTTTTTTCCTCCTTTCAATACATATAAAGAAAATGGCAACTTCATGGGCAAAAAAACCCTGCCTTTAGGGATTCCCTTCACCGCAACAATTAAAAAAAATAAAAATCTGAATTGTGAGGGAACCCTTGCCATAGTTTACTCTTTTATTCTCACTCGTACCGGGTGCAAGTACTGGCAGCAAGAGACACCAGATTGTGACACACACTTCCCAGTCCAAGAAATACTTCAGCAATAACAGCTGAACCGCCAGCTCAGGCACCAGGGTAATATTCCCAGCAGAAAAAAGGCTGGACATGTAACCCAGAAGTTAAATCTCTTTAAAGAATATACTTCTCTCTACACATTTCTTTCAGCAGTTTAGAGTCTCTTTTGTTCCCTTTTTTTCTTTTTGCTAGATTTGTAATAGCCTCAATGTCATCACAGTATCTCACATCAGAGGATGCTGACCTGTCTTGCCATTTTGTGTAGGAGCCAATAAATCGTGGAGCCAACCTCGGAAGTGTATTTTTAGAGCAGTACCAATTCACCTACATTTTGTGTTCTGACTAAAACCCCAGTCCTACACATAAGCTCAGCTTTATTTGTATGATTATCCAATTATTTGGGCAACTAGAGAAGTGCTTCATGGTGAGGATTTCTTGAGCTGAGTCCCCAGCATCCCCAAATATAAAAATTCATTTGTGCTATTTCAAGCCTAGGCAATTTCCCTAGTCTCCATCTGCCTAATAACAGAGCCAGGCAAGTCCGCCAGCTTGAAGAAGTTTTTAAACACAAAATGAATTTTGAATCTAATTATTTATTTACAGTAATGAAGCTTTAAAATAAAGTAAGATATTTTAACTTTTCATAAATCATCTGGCCCTTCTACCCTATCCACATCTACATGGTGATGAGGATAAAAGAGCAATCCCCGCTTTCTGCAGAGCTGTCCGTGCCCGGAGGAGCGGCCGGGCGGAGCGGGGCTGACCGCGCTGGCAGCCGGAGCGTTCCGTGCCCGTGCACTCGCAGCCCGCGGCCGCCAGGTGTCAGAAGCGCTGCCGCCTGCCCGAACCACGGCCGAAGCTCCCGGCCGGGAGACGGGCACCCCGGGGCAGCACCACGGATGGAGCCCTTGGGAACGAAATACCAGCTGGGAAAATCATAAAGGAGCTGCTTCAGCATAGCACACCCCTGCCTGTGACACTGAATATGCAGAAGCACAAATCAGAAATTTGTGAATTGACAGCTGGAACTGCTTTGCTTTTAGACAATCTAACATCACCAAACACAAAATTCAATGGCTTTTTCCTTTGATATACATGGAAATTTTCCTGGCCTTAAGAAGGAATGACCTTTGCAGTGCTGGATGTTATTCTCAAGTCTAACAATGACTTTATGGAAAAGGATGGATGGAGCCCTGCACACACAATAGCAGCATTGACAAGAAGCTTGCCCACTAAACCTAGCTGGGTAAGCATGAAAATGTGAAAGAACACATAGGCTCCTCTGTGCTCATACACTCCTCAGCATTTTAACAATGGCCATTCCTTGTGCACTTCCATTACAGTTCTATTTTTAGGTCATCCTGAATATCAATAAAAAACCCAAAAGGTTTACCATCTTCAAATTGAAAGAAGGGCTATTCGTGGTAGACAAATCCATACTTAGTTAGGCAGTGTCATTTAAAAGATAATGCACAATCAGCACGGGATGCATGACGCACAGCCTACAGTCAGGGAACATGATTTCAAACTTGTGTGGCTGCTGCATTGATTACACCAGGCAGGTCAATAAAGGAATGGTATGTGGCTCTAAATCTGATAATGAAGCTTTTATTGTGAGCCCTCCCTCTCAAACATCAGCTAATAACATTCCCAATACAAGGAATACACTGGGTTTGGGGTCAGAATTTGTTAAAAGAACAAACAGATTGTACTCAAATACTGCAGCCATTTAGAGCTGGGCCAGGCAGGAGCTGAGAAACCAGCTGTACCATAGGGATAGGACTTAAAAAATTACATTTTTCATATGCAAATCTTGATTTTATCTTACTATCTTGGGAATGTACCATTTATTCCCTGTGCATGCATTACTGACAATCAATATGCTGGCTAGTGCCCGTACCATGCAGTTAATAGAGCCACGTTTTACACAGGGCCTCACAAACAGGTCTGTAATGCCTATAGACACAGGAGCCTGTGTGCTCTGCATCCTTCCCCACCTTTCTGAGCAGATCCTGCTCAAACCATGGGCACAAATGCCAAGCCCTGCACATCCAGGCACCAGTGGGTCACTGGGTGAAGGCTGCATAATCACCACTGTGTGTGTTTCAAAGTCCCATGAGAAGCTCTCTGTATCCTCTGCCACCCAGTTTCTCACACACTAAAATGTATTTCAAAACATGCCTTCCAAAAAATAGTCTGGCAACTTGTCTCCTACTACTAGCAATTTGCATTTCTTATCTTCTTGCTTCTACTCTCTGTGCCCTGTGCATCTGCAGCTCACTGGAATTGTGCTCTGCAGATGTCTGAAAGCATCTGAGGCATTCAGGGCTTATGTGTCTTCTCTCACACGTGTTTTCTGTATTTGACCTGTGGTTTTTCAAATACCTTTATTGGGCACTTTTTAATGTGCCCATACCCAGAAAATTCCCCTGGCTGACCAGATTTTTCGAGCAATTGAAAATCAAGTACTAAGAATGCCCTGTGCCTTAGTAAGAACAGTTTTGACCCCAATGGAGTCACTGGGCTGTTCCAGGCAGCAGAAGGAAATCGTAAAGACTGAAAGGAAGCAAATGTTTTGAAAAATGTGATAGTACAGGAGTGCTGCTACCTAAGCAGCCTATGGAAACTTCACCCACCTTTCCAGCAGGAGGGTGGGCTGGCTGAAAGCAGCTTGGGTGTGATTTTTCAACTCCAGAAATTATAGTTAAATTTTTTAAAAAAAGGAAAAAGAAAGACTTAATGGTGGTTTCCAGAGGAAAATAGAGCGGCCACAAAAATGCAGGCCCTCCAGGAACATTCCTGTGTGTGTGCACATGCCTACCAGCTCCAAGGCCATCCATACACATGCCTGTCTGGGGCCAGCAGGAGGCACGACATCATTTGGAAGATGAACAGGAAAAATGGCTCTTCCCAGCTCCTTTTAGACCCCCTGGTTTAGGCACGGCTCACAGCTGATACCCCACTGAATACATCATTCTGAGACATTATTGCAGCTGGAAAACTCTACAGCAGCACTAAGTCACCTGTCAAGATTAAGTAAGTCACAGCTTATTTATAGAATAAGGTTGGAAAATCTCTCTTTTCTTAATAATCATGCAAAATGGATAGCAATTCCATTAGCTACGTCAGTGGGAAGAATGCAACTACCCCAAGTCTTGGGGCTGTTGCAGTGTTTAAGTGGAATTTTCTACTGGCTGCACAATCCCCAAATGAACCATTTATGGAAGTGTCTGTGATCAAGGAACTGGGCGATGGGTTTTGCAGGAAATAAAAAGATTTCAAAGAATGGTTGATTATTGTCCATGTAGATACTGATTGCTCTCCAGTTCTTCCCTGGAGACACCCCCTGCCTGCCCTCTGGATGCAGATCAAGCCATTTGTGCAGGACATCCACAATGAATATTTCTCTGTTTTTTTAACATGCGTGATTATGAAAACTGGCATGACAATCTCCATTTTCAAAGCTCTGTATCAAGAAGGAACGCATCAGGCTTGAAAGATGATCACTTACAACAGTTCAAAGAACTCTCACTAGCTATATAAAGATTGGGAGAAAAAGCACACACACACAAAAAGCAGCACATGATGGAACTAAGCTCCAAGCCAGGCAGTCAAGCTGGGAGTCTCCCACACTGCAACGACACTCACTGCCAACAAGTCACAGGTGTACTACACAGGAGCAGGTGAAAAAAATAAAATGCAACTGTGAGGGGTGTGATAATGGTTTGGGGCCATAACACATCCAGTCTATAGTGCCATTGTGCATCTGTTATGGATTTAGACATTTTCTATCAGCCATTTACAAATACACTGTCTATGTGCATGAGCACATACTCCTAAAAGACCGTATGTTATACAAAGGTTAAGAAATGGCCTAACACGGCTGGTGATGCCCACCACCCTCAGGTGACATTCATAAGCCTTCTGCAGTGTTACACAGAGACTGGGACTCTGATGAAAGGCTACAAAGCCTCCCCCTCCCCTTCCAAATGCTGCTGAAATGAATAGAAACTATTCCTCAAATAATTTCAGTAGGAACTATGGAGATCACAGATTCATGTGACAATCAACCAACATGAAAATTAACTGGTAATTAGCCATTGGGTGACCTATTAATCCAAATACTTTTTTTTTTCTCAGGGTGTGAGGGGTCCTCTAGACCCAGGTAAGAGCCCAGGTAGTTTCTCTCTGTCTTTCCCCACCTCTGTTCAGGTTTCTGTCACCTCTTCAAGCCCAGAGATCAGGGTCATGGCTGGGGAACACTGGGACTGTGTCCCCTCCTCCCCATTCTCTCTCCTTTTGCCTTTACAGAGCAGGGCTGGGGAGCAGGAGAAGTGTTGCCTCCACTGACTGCCAACATGCACAGCTTGCCAGACAAAAACTAAACCTCAGATTCAAGCATTGACTTGAAGCAAAGGTTTGCCTCAGATTTGAACATATATATAAAAAAAGACAAAACAAAACCTCCAAACTGCTATAAACATAAGCTAGAGTGTCTAAATATTTACGAAATACCATCTGCAGCAAT